ATCCTGGTTCGAAAAAGAATCTCGAACACGAAGTTTAACCGGAAGGTAAGCAGTTGGACCTGAAACGCTCTACCAAAGAAACGAAGAAAAGAAGTCCTAGGAGTCGCTAGATAGAAACCAAGACTCGAAAGATACTTCCATTGTTTTCGTGGTTCCGCCTTTCGTTTGTTTTGGATCGACATGTACGGAGGACCCAATTTGAAAGACTCTCGGCGAAGCTCATTCTCACAAGAACACCGGAGTGGAGGTATGCCACGCATTCTCGCTGTCTCGAAGACGGAAGACGACTTCTCAAAAATAGGCACTCCTACACGTTCCTTTCATAAAACAGCGAAATCCGATGTTGCAGCGCTGAACATGGATCGCATAATAAACGAAGGTAAGCAAGATGAAATGGATGATGTTATAGGAAGTATGAGTGCGATCGCAGAAGTCCTAGAGTCAGGGAAGGAAGAAGATATCGTTCTTGTACTTTTCGAAACACAGCAAATCCTGGCCAACTGCCGTGAGTTTGCAATTCAAGTTCTCGTGCCGATCATTTGCAAAAATGTATTGAAGTGGAGTTACAGCTTAAAATTATCGGCCGGCGAGACTCTCAGAGCTGTTCTTCGCGGTGACATTCCCAAAGACATAGCCAAGCAGTTAAGCAAAATTGCATTTAGTGTCTTGAATCAACCTTGCGACGCCTCCATGTGCGAGGGATGGGGGGAAATTCTTGTGGTGACACTTCCGCATGTTGTGTGGACTGTAGATAAGTTGGACGAAGTGATCAACCTTTTAGAGAACCAACAAGGAGGCTCTGAAAACCCCATGTCACGCCAGCTGACTGCTCGGATACTCGGATCGCTGGCTTCATCTACCAGTGATGGAGACTTGAAAAGGAGAATACTTGGGAGGGCAATTCCTATCACGCAAGACAACAACCCAGACGTGCGAGGTATGATCACAGAGTCTCTTTCCTTGATTGGAGCATCAATGAACGTTTCTATCGTTGAGACTGAGTTGTGGCCGTGTCTGGTGAGACTGTTAAACGACAATGACGCGCGAATTCATGCTGCTTCCCTGCGAACTGTTTCGTACATCGCTGCGGCGCACAGAGGCAAGAGCGGCAAGTCCACTCTGTTTAAGGATCTGGTACCATCCGTATTTTCAAGAGAATGCAAAAGGATAAGAAGTGACGCAGCCTTGGACCAACGCAATGTGGACGATGATAAAGGACTAGTCCTTGAAATTAGTTCTGAGATTTTTGGAGAGTTGCTCTATAGCTCCCATGAGCATTTCCTGGATGACGCAGGAAGGCGAGAGGCCTACAAGGCATTCATGGCAATGGCTACGAGCAATGGCCCAGTCGTTCGTAAGTATTGTGCTTATAATATTCCCGCTGTCTCTTTGTGCCTCAGCGGAAAGTACGCAATTGAACTCTCTGCGTTGGTGGAATTTCTTGCCAGAGATAGCGACGATGAAACAAGGTGGATGCTGGCAGCAGGCATTCACCAAACTGTGAAGCTTTTAGCCCGAAACACAACGATGACGAAGTTATTTGAAGCGGTGCATTCTCTTTTGAAAGATTCAACGAGTATTGTGAGATTGAAAACCATCGAACATTTTCAAGAGCTCATCGCAGAACTGTCCAAACACAGTGGATACAGCTCGGCGCAAAAATTGACGCCATTGTTTGAGAATCTTCATTTGCTTGCGGACGGCAACTGGCGGACTCAAGAGCTTCTGGCGAAACAGCTAACTCTTGCTGTTCCTCTTGTCCCCCCACCGTCTTTAAAAATGGATGTTTTACCACTTCTGTACCGAATGACGGAAGAGGGCTCCTATCTGGTGCGAAAGGCAGCCATGGCTGCTGTTGCTACCTGCATTCGGTATATTCCCGACATCACCACTCGTGATACAGTGATGGAAGAATTTAGACAAGACTGGGGAAGGGCTTCTGTTTTCTGGATGAGAGTAGCATTTATTGATGCCGCAGTTGTTGCGGTTGGAATATACAGCCGGTGTCTGTTTCGGGACACATTCGGATTAGAGGTTCTTCGACTTTCTAACGACCTGGTTGCAAACGTTAGACTCCGCATTGCATTTCTTCTCCCAAGAATAGCATCGGCGTGCATCCTTATGGAGGGTTTTCATCTAGCTTTGGAAAATTTGAAAAAGGACGAAGATCCAGATGTCAGGAATGCCCTTGTGAATGTTGACTGCGAAATAAGGCAGGCAATGGAAAGAAGAAACGCAATTTTTGAGGAAGATATGAAACTTGAAGAAGAAGAACAGGAACTCCATTCCCAGCATTTGCAGAGACAGCTATCATTCCAAAGAAAGAAAAATGCTGAGAAACGACGACCTTCTGTCTTCCTCGGAAAGGCCGCCAAGGGTATCCAAGCAAGCACCTCACGCGCCTTGGAACGCGATCTCGATGAATCGGGAGAAGATACACAACGGCCGGGACAACCAGGCAGATCATTCAAAAAATCGGAGAGCTCACCACGAGGAATGAAAATGTGCGATTCTCGCTCTCCATCTTCCAGGCCGTCCGAGGCTACTGTAAAATCAGAAAAGAAGAAGAACAGGCTAACACCTCGTAAAATTGGGCCTGCAAGTTCGTTCGAATCGGGTGCAGGATTTAGCTTACGTCCTCCACGTTCTCCACGTTCTTCCAATGAGAATTATTCTTCAAACGAGAAGGCAGGACAGAAGAAGTCTAAGGCTACATCACCAAAGAAACTCGGGGCATCAATATATGGAGAGGGCGGTGGGAGGATTGGGTCGCGGTCTTTCAAGGGACTTGTGCCACTACTATCCCCTAGAGCATCTTCATTACCGAACAGAAAAAGCAAGTCGAGAACGTCGACGTCCTGAGTTCTCGGTCTTTAAAGATGACCACGCCGTTAAAATTTCCAGCTTTTTTACGTAGGGCTATCTACAGCACGGAACAAGACGACGTAAAAACTGATGAGATCTGTACATGGTACAAAGACCGATACGTAGAAGCGATACGAGGACTCGGTAGAACACTAGAACCTTTAAAAATTGAAAGTGACGAAAAAGAGTTTGTATTTACCTTGCTGTACAATGAGGCGGCACCGAAGCATATCCTGAAATCAAGGTGGTACATTCAAAGACTAACCTGAATAATAGTGGCTGCAAAGCATTGGCTGTCTTAAGTGTTGCTGCCATTCATTAGCACCAGCAGTTAGATATGCATGAAGTCATGTGTCAAGGGTCAGAGGTTTTCCGAAAACTTGCCTGAACCTGCTCACAGCTTGACAAAGCTACATTCACCTGACACAAACCTAGATATGCAATTATCCTCCAAAGCAGATGCCGAAGATCTTCTTGAAGAATCCTGGTTTCGCGGGTGGCGGCTGTTCGCTGCCAGCCTCTGAAGGTTTCATAGCGGACCTTCTTCCTACTAGTTCAACCGAGGCTTCAGGCGGAGGCGGACTGCCCCTGTGCTCCTCAACCTTTGGCTGCATGATCTGAGGCTTCACTGACCCGTGAGACGGTACGACTTGTACGCTCGGGATTTTAGCTGCAGGAACCGACGCTCGCTTTTGTGCAGCTTCTGAGTTGATGGTCGCAGGCTTTCTGCGCTTCGGCCTGTGTACAAAGAAGGCATCTTCTTCAGCTTCTCGCTCCTTTTCTTGCCTAGCTTCTTTCTCTGAAAGAGAGCAACCAGAGCGGAGTCGCTTGAGCATGAGCTCTGCTTCCTGAGACACTTGTGGATCAGCGTCGGTGGAGAGATGGCGAAGAGCCTCCATGAAATCTGTATTGGCACCCCATCTGGTCACCAGTCGTTCAAAGAGACGAAGAAGCCTTGTTTTCACATTGGGTACAGTGTCGTGACTCAAGCGTAGCAACTCCTTCTTAAATAGTTGATTAAAGAGCTTCACAGAAACGACTTCCAGAGCAAATTCAGCGCCATCAATAAACGCTAACCTGGTCCAATAAACTTGGCCTCTTGCCCATTCCGTGCGGAAGTGCTTGAGGATATGGTTTCTTCTTCTCACGTCAGGAATATATCTCAGAACATGCATAAGAGACCTCATAGATGCCTTCCTCACGAGGTATGTGCTCTCACGTGCCATCTGGAATAGCAACGGGGCGACATTCTCGCAGAGCATCTGCTGGGGAATTAGATGGGCAGACATTCGGATCTGCTCGGCGAGTATTTCTTGTGTACGCCATGAGTCAAAGGGCATCATCTCAATGGATGTGAAAATTTTTTGCAGACGTCGCACGTCGATATCTGCCGACTCTGCTCCATGCTTTTCTCCACTTGCACCGCTAATGAGTCCATTGTCCCTTTCAGCAATTACTGCCGCTTTCACTCTTGCAAGGTTTGCTTCTTGCCCAGGAGATAACAGCGTGAGAAGGTCGGACAAATGTCCAAGTGCATTCATCCTGACCTGTGCATTTTCATCCATGAAGAGGATCGATATGGACTCAATGAGCTCATTTCGAAACTTGCCTTTTGCCAAAGTGTTTGCCGTTTCCTTGATACCTGCAGCTAAGGTGGCTCTCGTTTCAATATCCGAGTCTTTTGCCAGAGCCTGGAGAATGGCGATGACAATATCCGGGTCACGGTGTGTGACGACAAGAGTAATAGCCGGCATGTTAAAGGCACACCAATGTCGAACAGTGGGCCCATTGCAGGAAGCCATGGCACGAAGAGCGGCCAGAGCTACACCCCATTCCTTGTCCTTTCCCTCCAAAAGCTTATGAAGGGAGCATAAAAAGTAGCCGAAGACCTCTGAGAAGATCTCAAGCATAAGGTAAGTGTCATCAGCAACCGTGCGCAAGTCTTTCGATGCAACAGCGGCAGCGTTTCGGCACACATCGAGATACAGCGGTAAAAGAACAGTTTGATAGGTTTTGGCCTTCTCAGAATGGCTACTATGAGCCTCTGCACTCTTCGCCAGAGCGCGCATGGCGGCGGCTCGGACGCGGACGTTCTTATCATCGACTAATATGCCAAGCTTTGGCCAAATCTGTTTTTCAACGAGGTTGACGGGCAAATTGACAGCGACAGGGCCGAGCGACTGGGCCATCATAGCGCGGACAGAATCGTCCTCGTCGTCGGCCAGATTGATAGCATGAGAAAAGAACAAATTCTCCATCTCACTAGAGTTCAAGGCATCGTTCAAGGAACCCATAATTCTGGCAGCTAATCTGCGGGACTCTGCAGATTCTGCGGCGGCGCGATCGCGGGTGGCGGGGACGACTAGGTCCAAGACGTCTTGGCGGGCAACCTGGGGCAACATCATGGAGAGAATCTCGCCACAGGCGTCGAAAACTTCGCTTTCAGGGTTTGCAGCGATGACGGAGAGAGTGGCGACGACTATACACTTTGAGACTTCCGGGGGGGCCTTGATATTGACAACGAAGTACAAAGCCTCAGCGGCGGCCATTTGAACCTCTGGCTTCTCGTCGACGATAATGGTACAGATGCGGGGCACCATGAGTGTGAGAGACTCGTGCGGGCAATGCTCGAGGAATTGGGGAAACTGGTACAGGACGGCGAGTCGCTCGAGGGTGTGGCCGTGAAGCATGGCGACGGTAGCGTTGGCGACGCTGGTGAGGACATCGTCATTGAGCAAGACGAACTCGACGCCATCTTCAGTGTGGGCCTCGCCGTATGAGCCGGGGGTGGCGGTGGAGATGGACGCGTGGACGTGTTCGGGGGTGTCGGGGAGTGGGGGCATCGGCGGGAGGTCTGCGGCGGTGAGAGTACGCGGAGGGGGGGAGGGCGTGGAGGCGCGGGAAGTAGAGACTGCAGCCATTGTGAGGGGGAAGCGCGAGGCGGAAGCGCGAGGCGGAAGCGCAAGAGGGAAGCGCAAGAGGAGGCCGGTAGGGGGCCGGGGGGGGGGTGAACACAAAGGGGATGGAGGGGGGGGGGCGGGCAGGGGCGGGTAGGGTGAAAAGTGGGCCGAAGAGGTGAAACGAAATGACGGAAGAGAGGAAAATGCGGAAACCTGTAAAACCGACAGCGAATGGGACGGATCCGTGCGGCACGGGTCCGTCTGTCAGCATGCGCCGATTTATCACATTTTTAGCAAAAAATCACCGCCTTGCGCTCGCGTGTCTGCAACGGCAACTGTAATGGGCGCCTGTTTCCTTACTCCTGCCATGCCCCTCCCCGCGCCGCTCCAATCACCGCCCGCCACTTGGGTCTCGAGAACCCCCCCCCCCCCAAGGGAATCCATTCTGTCACTTTGTTCAGCCTTTCCCTTGTCACAAAAGCCGCCTGATCTTCTCGCAGCTGAAGTTAAAGAGCATATGGTATGAGTCAAGAACAAAAAGATCCGTGGGCAGGCACTGTTCGTCACTGTCGCTGCACAGCAGTGACTGCGCATCGTTGCGCGCAATTATCTATAAGGCAATCTGGATTAGAGAGACTGATTGAGATTATCTGACAGCGCTTGATGTGTGCAGTACTTGATTCTCCCGTGGAAGCATCGACGCTTGACGGGCTTCCAAGGTGGAGGGATTATAGTAAAAGCAGTAGTACGACTACATTGTTGTACCTCGCCTTTGTGATTCCACACAAAATCGGAGCCATTACAGTAGAACA